TGTCACAATAAACGAGAGCTTGGTTCATGAAAGCATGAGCCAGATACCCTTCATAGTCATCACTGTATGATTAGTCACCTCTTACAACCCAAAACTTTTATCCTGTACAATTGGTCAATTATATCAAAAATAAACTCGATTACGTCACCTTTTAACGCCGTTTAAGTGTTCTAAGCTTGAGTATCGCCAGGAGTGAGATTAGGAACGAGTCAACAAGTCGTATAGGGTCAAAACCGGGCCATACACCCTCTTGGGAGGTGTGTACGCATGCACACAGGTGTGCGGCCGCACACCCACCTGCCAGATGCACACTCACCCCTATATATAGAGGGTGACCCCCTTCACTCAATCTTTTCTTTGGCTGGACTCTACTTTCTCTATCTATTTTCTCACTTTAGAATCTTCATCTAAGAACACTCCAAAGGCCTCAAAAACATGAAGTACTCCATCATTTAACTTGTCATACTGGTAAGACACCTTGATCTAAGCATAAACTCTTCATGTTCTTCATCCTTTGAAGGTGTATGACCGCACACCTTCATAAGGTGGCTGTACACACCGTTAAGACCCTCCAAAGTGAGAGTTTGGCCCCCTATCTTCTAGTTGGACTTGGTTTGAGGCTTAAAACACCTGAAAATCAACTTTTGTAGCATAAATGAAGAGTGTACGACTGCACACCCCTGTGTACGGACACAAACACTCTCTGTACGGCCGCACACTCCTGTGTATAGCCGCACACACACCCTCGCCGCACACTCTGGCCGCACACACAAAACCCTTGATTTTGTGGCCATACACCTGCCTCATTGGATCATTTATGGCTCCGACAATTAGTTCAAGCATTTCCAGGTCCATAAGGTCGTTTCACATCATGTTTAGTCATGGAATACCCTAATCTAATACATATATGTGTTACTATATGATAATAGGGACCACTTGCATACGAAACATCAGTTGAAACTCATCACTCACACCTAGCGTGCACTTAAATCCTACGTTAAACTTTGAGTTCATACCCTTACGCTTTTACTGATTTTTAAAATGTTTTCAAGGGGGAATACAAGCTAAACATAATGGTTTTCACAAGTTAAAAACTGATGCAATTACAACAGTTTTACATCAAACATTTAGATATTTTATCCCTTTTGTAATATGTGGAGCATAAGGGATATTTTTCTAAACTTAATTGCATAGTTTACAGAACAGTACATGAACGTAACAAACCATTCAAATTATAATAGTTATAGTTTGGGATTTCATTACCAGTCTTACAGATTCAAACTACATACAGAGTCAAACATATAAACTATGACAGATTTAGTTTGTCCATTATTACATTTAGATAAGAAGAGTATCTTACTAAATAATTATTTTTTGTATACATATTTATACTCTACGCCTTATACAAACGATTTCGAACATGAGTATCACAGAACAACACGTAAATTAGTTAATACACGATTGTGAGACATATCTTTGTTATGCCCCTCGGGGTACCAGTAAATCCTCACCTTTAGTATAAATAGAGTCTCCTGGAGGGATAACGTGAAATTTGTGAATGGATCTATTCAATACCGACAATCCCACACCTGAACTGTTAGCCACAGTTAAGCGGGCATGCCTGGGGTGACAAATTTTGTAATCGTACGATGCCTGAAGAAACGTCAAGGAGGTCATCAGTCATATTAGTATGGTTATACGAACTCAAAATAGTATCAACTAACCTTTGTTTACGTGATTTCTTTCTTCTATAGTTTTATTTTAATTAGTAAAACTACGTATCTACTTACTGGAGGGTATTCTAGGGACACAACCTTTAGTTTTATTTTAAGTAATAAAACTATTATACATACTGGTGGTAGCCAGGGTTTTCTAACAAATTATACACTACGTACTGGTTGTAGCCAGGGTTTTCGAACAGACATACACTACATACTAGTGGTTTCCAGGGTTTTCAAAATAGAACATACTTTTTATAGTGTAATCAAAAAACATGTTAGAAAATATTGGATTTTCATGGAAAGCATGCATACATAGTTCAAAGCTTGATAACAATGGTTTTCGATACAAACGACATTTTTCTTATAATGAAAAGAAACCATTTGTACAAATTCAGCAACTACTTTTCAGTACAAAAACATGATTATGAACTCACAAACTTTATGCTGATACATTTTCAAAACCGCTTGTATTCTCAGGACAACGTTAGACAGGTACCTTGCCAGCTTTTGGAGAAGACGGAGCATTTTTGGAGTCTTGTATTTATCTTTTGTTTATACTGATGTATACAAACTATGTTTTCAAACATATGTAAATATTCATATTGTAATTTAATGCTTATGTTTACTTGGATTGATATGATACGATTGTTGTGATACTACGCATGACGTCACCCGCCCCCGGATGTTTCTACTGTTGTTTTATAATGGTTCAGGGGTGTGACATCACTATTGTCTCGAACAACATATGGAATACACTTATCAGAAGGAACATCATCATCATGAGTATCAACAACATCAATCGACTCTAGAGGATTAGCTTTAGCTTCACTCCTTTCAGTCATCTCAGGTTGAGATGTAATAACCATTTGTATTAGCCAAGGACCCTCTTAATAATTTTCCCCCTTTTTGGCAGCATCAGGTTGGGGAAAGAGTTAGGAGGAGGGGAAGGAGTTTTTGGAGGAGGATGTGACGGTAGAGGAGGTGGTGGAGGAAGGTTTGTCGATGGATGAGGAGGTGGAGGAGGGTTATCGCCTAGAGAGTTCGGTGGATTATCATCAACAACCATATCATCATCATCTTCATCATCCTAGGCCATAAATCTCTTCATTGTAGCCACATTCCTTTCAACTTTAGTAAATCTTTTATTCATTGACTTAGTTAATTACACAGTTAAGGATAGTTGGGAATGAACACCAGTTTCAAAGTTGGAGCTAGATTCTCCTTGGTTACCTTGATGAAGAACATCAACAGTAATGGGTGAAGGTGTATGAGGAACTGTTTCAGCTTGATGGATTGTATTAGCTTAAGGAGATGGAGATGGTATGGTAGAAAGTTCATTCTGAATTATAGGCTCGGTAGTATCTCTAATGAGGGGGGTTGATACATGATGTTTAGTGTCATCAGTAGGGGAAGCAGATGAAAAACGTATGTGCTTATTTTTCCTTGGAAGAGAGTTCATATTCTGAGTTAAGTCTTCTCCCATATCAGCTGCTGAATTATTTTCATCTTTATCAGTATCTTCTTCCTTATCGGCTCCTTTTTGATGTCCAGCTTCTGAATTCTTATTATCATTATCTTCATCATCATCATCATCATCATCATCATCATCATCATCATTTTCATCATCCTCTCCAATGTCTAAGGATTCAACCATATAGGGATTTTAACTCCACTTTCACATTCTTGCAATAATAGACATCGCATCAATAGATGCACCAACATTGATGATTTTCGATGAAAGGGAAGGAATAGGAATGATGATCTCATGACTTTCAGCATAGCCAATGAAGGGTTTTGAGCATTCTAACACTCATATGGTGTACATGCAACCCTAGAAACCTTGGATCTATGTTTTCTCTAATATACATGTAAGTTTGATTTTTCCAAGGTTCTTATTCTAACTAGCATGGCATGGAGTACTTGTAATATAAAAATTAGTAGAATGACATACCTTTGTTGTTGCTTGGATTCCTAAAGACTTTGTGTGCCTAGCACCCAAAATGTGATGCCTCAAATGTTTCACACAAGACCACAAAACCTGGAATAACTTGAGAGATGAACACTTTGATCACAAATTCAGCTAGCCCTCACACTTATCGTCTTAGTGCCAATTTTTCTTCATATTAGGTTCCTAATATAACATGTCACATGTAGGGTTACACCATGTAAACCCTAATCCGCATGACTTTTCATATTCCCCATGATCCATGGGTTTATAACCTCCATGGAGCATCCATGGAGCACCCAATGGGTCCTAGCCTAATCTAGTGAATCATGGACCTTAACCCACTATATAACAAATGAAAGATTTACATAATCGATATATTTAATTAGTCTCTTTTGATCACAAATTCAATTCCAAATTAATTCTTGATCAATACTAATTAAACAATATGATTTCATACTAACATATAAGAATATATTAACAAATCATAAATGTCCTTATTCTCATTCTGTCAATCCAAAGGTTGAGATGCCATTCAACCTAAATGGAAGATGCCAAGTCGGGTCAAGTACATACCAAATATATTTATGGACTTAGAAACCTTATCCAACAGTCTCACACTTGGAAACCTTATCCAACAATCTCACACTTGGATAAGTCTAATAACTATAGTTACAGGTATGACTTCAGGAACCGACCAGAAATCATTTCTTTTTCAATGTCTCGCGGAACTTAGAAGATGATGATGCGGCATTTAATATAAGTGATCATATAATCCTCTGTTCTAGATATCATCCAGAAAAATACATGGATCAATGTCGTACTTATTGTCCAACAGTGTGTTTCCCGATTTCCGATTTGTTTGACCTAGAACTAAACTGAACACATCAATTTGGTTCTGAACAGCCTAACACATACGTCGAAACAAAATCATCAAGGGGCCCATATATCGCTTTTAATCCTCCAAGGACTAAAAGGAACAGATAAACTTCGAATCATATGCTTGTACTAACTATTTGTTGAGTCATACACAAAAGCACGTTTTATAACATCAATTTACTGATGCATTTTCGTGCAATCAATGCATAACCAACTCATAATCAACAGCATATATCTCCAGGTTTGAAGACTTATATGATATTATTGTCTCATGATCACTCGAGATAAATTGTGTAACATCTAGGATTTCGGGTATGTTAGTTTGTGTTTCAAATTTTGAGGATTTAAGAGGTACTCGACATGTCGAGATTCTGACTTGCCGAGTCACATCGAGTTGATTGCGGGTATTTAATGAGAGGACTCGACGAGTCCAAGTATGGACTCGCCGACTAGGTGCTGGGTAGAGGAAACCCTAAGTTCTGGGGTTGGAGCCTATTTAAAGGAACTTATGGCCTTGGATGTGCCTCATATCTCCTGTGAGAAACCCTAAACCGCAAGTGGAGTCAAGGGAGAGTTCTTATGGTGAAATCAAGTATTTTGGTGTGATTTTGCAAAGGAAGAGAAGGGATTCAGCTAGAAGTACCAAAGGAGGATGTCATTCTGAGACATTCAAACAAGGATCTCCACTATGAGGTAGTAATTCGACCCTTTCTTCTGTTTTGTGAAGAATCATTGAATTTAGGGTTTTCTTTACCCTTTCTTGGATAGTATATAATGCATATGAGGTCCCAATGTGTAATAAGTATTAGATTTCGACATTAAGAGGTCCAGAGAGTCCCAATCTTCCAGCTTTATGTAGTTCCATTGGAGTTATGAATCTAGGATGCCATTTTTAGAGATATTTCACCATATAGAGCTATATGTATGTTGCATGTGTATAAAGTCTGGACCTTCATGCGACTATTGGGTGTTAGGAGGTCAGATCTATATGTTGGGGAAATAGATCTGACCTCAGAAGGTCATTTGCGTATGACTATGGAGGAAACTCTCCGAATCCATAAGAGGACTTGACGAGTTGAGTGGGGTTGTCCCGCGATTCGTGACCAATGGTAACTCGCCGAGTGAAAGGTTAACTCGATGAGTCGGGTGAGACCTTAATAGGATCTCGAGGACAAGCATGGACTCGCCGAGTCACCAAAGTGCACTCGACGAGTCTTGTCAAATTTTGATGTTTGACTAGATTTCACTTCAGTTGACCTTTGGGTTTTGGTCATATTGATTCAAGAGAGATCAGGGAGGGGTACAATGGTCTTTTACCCATTCTATAGAGATGAGGTCAAGAAAAAGTATTAATTTGAGAATTTTTCCTTATGTGTTGGGCGGAGGCTCGATCGAGGTTATCAAGCCAGAAGGTTTACTAGACATCATGAGAGGTGAGTCTTCTCACTACACCTTACCTAGAGTGGTAACTATGTGTCTTATATGTTATGCAGCGTATGTGATATGTTTTGCTATGTGATATGTGTGTTCTATGCTATGTTATGAGTACTATGATATCGACCTGAAGGTCAACAGTGTATGGACCGGAAGGTCAAGATGATGAGGATCAGAAGGTCATACGAGTAGGGCCAAAAGGTCTACCAGAGTTGGGACAGAAGTCCCATGAGACACATGGATCGAAAGATCCCATGGAGCTATGGCCTTGAGTGATGTATGTGCTGTATGTGGTATTTTGGGGAACTTACTAAGAATTTATGCTTAGAGTGTTATGTGTCATGTGTTTCAATTACTAGCGGTGATCGTGGGAAGGCGCCGACATGATCTGTACACACTGGCAGATGATTTATTTTATGATCTTGGGATATGTTTTATCATGATGGCATTTGTTAAATTTTAGATTTGATTATATTGAATTAGTTTTATGTTATTTGAAAAATGAAAAGCTGTTTTGAAAAATCACGTTGTTACAAGTTGGTATTAGAGCCTTGATTTGAGGGATTTGGATGCACCTTCAGACGTATCTGAACTCAAACTGAGAATTTGAGAAGGTTTTGATACAAGAGACAATTTTTCCAAAAAGTAAAAGAATTTGAGAAAGTGGAATGAAGCAGTGTCTACGATCAGTCAGCACCCGAACGGTGATTTCCCAAAATACCCTTACGTTATGTGTTATGAGATATGATATGATATGCTATGTATGCTAGAGAGGGATAGGTAATCATATTAGGAATAGAGTGGCCTGATTTATGATCCCTTAGCATAGGAGATTTCTGCTGCTATGAGATGCTTAATAGTGAGTAGGTAGCAGTGAGAAACTTATGAGGGGCCAACCGAAGTTTAGCCGATGCTTAGAGAGAAATAAAGTACTTGTGATCTAGGATCCTAGGTGGAGGACATGGAATGAATGTTGATGTGGTGTTGAAAGTAGTATAGGACCCTCGCTACTGGAAGCACCAGATCAATGCGACGTCCAAGTAAGAATCCTTAGGGTACCAAGTAACAAGTAGGATTGGGTGATCGAGTGCGAGCATACTCGATCAAGTCTCTGGTATCCTTGTGTTGTAGAGACATCATGGTGAGTACATGTCACACCAGAGAACAACAAGGATAAGGATGATGAGATTCGCAAGATGAGTCACGATGAGGTGGGCCTCTGACGTTGAGCGATGTTTCTACACATGTTCCTGTTCAGAACATTTGAGGGTACAGTTCGTGATGAACCAGGTCCTCTTGGGAGCGAAAGACTAGTGGAAGTTTGTGTTGGAAGACTTCACTCCTTCAGAGATTGTAGTGGTGACCTGGAAGATGTTCACCACCATGTTTCGAGATGATTAGGTGTCACAACCAGGAATTTTGATGTTTTGTAACAACAACAATTATACCAAATCTAAAACAACAATGTGAAAGCATGTATGATGCTTATTCAATAACAACAAAACTTCAATCAACCACCTTATACAAGCACTACAAATGGTGAACAAAGAATTGGAAACCCTAGAAATCCATGTTTAAGTCCATTTTGGACTAGGATTTCCTTATTGGGCCCAGTGGGCCTATAAGCTTCCAATTTGACTATCTTGGACTTAGAACTCTTATATAGGCTCTAATATGGACCCACTTTCATTTATTTTAACATTTTGGGCCATATTGGGCCTAGAATGAACTTAAATACCCAAATGGACCTTATTGGGTCGCAACCAATTTATATAGCCCTAATGGGTCATAAAAATCATTCCTAGATTTATTTGGGCCGAAAATTACATAATTAAGTCATAATATGGGCTTAAACACAATAAGCCCAATATTCTTCCTTTCTTTTCTCCTCTTCTTGGCCCAACAACCCAACATGTAAGAGAGTTGACTTTCATTTTCCACCTCTGTATTACCTCTTGGATCTCCATGCAATAACTCAGGTTCCCATGCACACATCACTTCACTCACTCCTCTTCCCCCTATCTCTTTTTTTCCTTCGGCCGAGAGTCTCCTAAACATATACACTTCACAACAAAACTCTCCTCTAAATCACTCAAGACTCGTCCCTTCTTCTTCATCCAAAATCTCGAAATTTTGCTTGTGTTTCAAGAGGATTTCACAATATAATCATCATCCTTTGGTAAGTTTTCACATGTCTAAGTTATAAAACTCCTCTCTCATGTAAGATCACTCATTCTAAACAAGTTTTTGGTGATCATACTCCTAGAAAATTCCTTAAGTTCGAGATCTTCCAAGGAGGCTTGCTAGGATCAAGTTTTCTTCTTTTCTTCCTTCTAAACCAAAAGCAACAAGAAAAGGTGAGCTTCATACCCCTCTCTTTTCGGTTTTCATAAGTT